TTAATACAATTACTTGTTACTAATAAAAGCAATTCATTTAAGTTTTCCTGCAAAGAGTGTTGTTTTCATCAAATGATTTTGTTGATAATCCTTTTTTTCCTGACGATAAGAAGAACTGAAGAACTAAACATGGATCTTTGTTGATAAAAACACGACGGCTCAAGGGGATGAGTTTTCGTTGACGAGACAAGACCGATTAAAATCTTTAGCGGGTTGTCTGTCAGACGTTTAAAATGCATCATTGTGCTGTAATCTCTAAGACAAGCTAACCAGTATCAGCCTTGCTGCTGTGTCCTGTTTGGTCACGCCCACCACCTGGTGTGCAGCGGTGCACATCCTGCATGAGCACAGGTGGACCATGGCAGCAGCGTTAGGTGTAAAAATAACCTGGAATTGTGTGGTGCTGGGCGCTGAGCTCTGACAAACTCTGCTCTTCCAGCTGTGCTTGTGCAGAACTGTGTCTTTGCAAGTGTGTAGCTCAGAGTCTGCGCTTTACGCTCCACACTGATGGTTCGCTCTCAGCAGTATGGCTCTTCCGTCTCTCGCTACTTAATAAACTATATGTGGCTGATTATCCTCTGCCAAGGGTAAAAAATGCCTTTGTATAACTATCAAGATTTTATTCATTCCAGCTCACAAGAGGTGAACTTTCCTTAATTTCCACCAAACAGAATATTAAATTATAACCAAAGCAAATATTTCATTGCCTACTGTTTATTTCTGGAGACCCAGAGAAAAAGGTACATAGATCTTTGAAGATTTCTCTCTCATAGTTTTTCTTTCTATCAATTTAAATATTTCATAACATCTTAGTTAACACATACTTGAAATTTAGATTGCCATGGCATTATAAGGCAGTTGTGTAGGTGTATTCAAGTAGGTGTAAACTAATAATAGTTTTCGTCTAAGATCTAAGATGGTTATCAAAAGCAACACTGCCTGCAAACAAGAATCAGACAAAAAAAACAAAAAAATGGATTAAATGAGACCAAAATAAGATCAACACGCAACCGGACAAAACATTTGCAGGGTAAATATTGCAAGGTTTCAAAACCAACTGCAAGTTAAGAAAAGTTTCTAACTAGGTGCATGACAGGAAAGCTAGAGGCCACTTGTTCATCATTCATTCAAAATGGTACATTTTATAATCTCTTTTATATTTTTTTTAATTACCTCTAATAATAATCTTTCTTAGCATCCAATTTGATTCATTGCAAAGGGTTTTGACCCATATGAGTTGATGGTCGTCTCCACCTAGTGGTCTGGAATGCTGGAGTTTTGTGTTTGTAGTATGTTTCCATTTTGCTGCTTAGTATTTTGTGCAGCTTTTTTTAACTTTATTTATTAATTTTTTGCAGCTCAGGCCATTTTTTATTTGCTTGTTTTTTTGTGCTTGTGTGTTGGTCTCAATTTTTTGTTTGCTAGTCTAACTTTTGAGTTGCAGGACCTTTGAAATTTGCTATAAAAGATGTATCTACAGAGTGTCAGCAACCCAAGACTAATGTACTAATTGGTACATAAACATCAAGGCTAAAACCCATAAAACGGAAATTTTCAAACCTTGTTTTAATACATCTATTAAAAGTCTTTAAACAGAATAGTCAAAAAGATGAGAACAGCCAGATCACAGAGACAGACGTGGTTCCAGATAAGCTCTAGTCTCACACTGCATCGTGTGTTGATGATATGAAAGCCAAGGACCTTTCCTGAGAAGCATTCAAGGTGTTATCGTCTCTATTAAAGAAATTTAATGACCAAAAAAAAGAAAAAGGAATCTAATTATATTTGTTTTCATCAGCTTCTGAGAGATCCTGTCAGCACGGTATCATATCTGCATATCAAGGGAAACTTGGTGTGTTACTTTGAAAGCACAGAGATGTAGCTGCTGATATGACTGGATAATTCTTTCTTGCAAATTGTGATTTATCCTTTTGGGATTAAATAAAACTTTGTCTCAACTGAGATCTGGAATGTTTCATTTTGTTAACTCACAGTTATTACAGCTAAAATATTACATAAAAATGAAACCTAGGCGGAGTTCAACTCAAAAAACTGATTACTTACCCCCATCCGCCTCCAACACAGGCCAATCAGCTATGAACCACCCCTCCACAAAAGCCCAATCAGTATCCAGAGTTAATCTTAAAAGGTCTCCGATTCTACAACTCAGTCTGCTACCTAAAGCGCAGGCAGTGGTTGCACTCTGTCAGACTACAATTCAGATGAGCCCGATTCAACCCACCTCCGTCCCCTGCTGCACCATCGCAGCAAAAGCTTCATCAGAATGTCATCCCTCCCGGACTCTTAACCGGTCCGACAGAAGACCGTCGTGTTGAGCCTGGTTCTGCCAGAGGTTTCTTCCCAAAGGGGAGCTTTTTCTCTCCACTGTTGCTACATGCTTGCTCATCATTAGACAGGTTCACCAAACCAGTTATCCAAACTGGACTTCCATCTTCCAGGTCCCACACAGTCCACTGGATCTCTCCATACAGCTCAGCATACCGTCTCACCAACCAGGAGTCATGAACTGACCAACTTCACCCATCTCCACTCCACCACAAGTTTCAGCCCTGAGGGGGAAACGTCCCTGTTCTTTACTCCTGTTCATGCATATCAAAATAAAATGTTTCCTGCTGATGTCTGAGAGCCAAGATCAAAAGTAACTCTGTCAATAAAATTCTTCTAATTGTCTTTTTCTTTCCGTGTGAGTTTTTCAGATTAAAATGCAGTTTGTTCTTATTGATAACAGTTGCTAGCACTGTTTATTGCAGCAAGACAGTCAGCTCTGAATGCCTATGCTTTAGTTCTCTCTGGGGAAATTAGATAACAATCCTGTATTTCACTGCTCAGAGTATAACCTGATTTTTTGAAGCAGCCTGCAAAGAAGAGAATTTGGAAAGTGAAAAATCTACCTTTTTCTCCTGCTGTAAACTGTGATGCATTATTTTAGCTAAATTAAGTCTTTTCTTTTCTTTGACCTATTTATATGAAAAGGTATATTATTTAACTGCATGTAGTGATTTAAATCTGTCTGTTCTTCTTCTCATTGGCAGGTCATACTGATCATGCGGCATCTTACCAGCACAAACCGGGCAACCACCTTTGATTGTCTTTTTAACTAACACTGGAGCAGACTGATATTTTGTCTTTGCACTGATAAAGGCCCTTGACACCACACACGTTGGCATGTTTTTAATCACAGCAGCCCTGTACAAATAAAGGCTTTTAAAGGTCAGCAGGAAATAACAAATGGATGATTAAAACTAAATATAAATCGTGGTAATTTCATGAATTTAGCATTAAACAATAAAAAAATGAAAACAATAATTGTCGTTTCGAGCACTGAGTCTTGGAGCGCCCATTTTTGCTCAGATATAGTAACACCTCACTCCTGACAGCTATTGACAGTGACATCACGGTGCGGTAAGCCTAGCAACATTCTCCCCGCTTTACAAGCAAAATCAATGGGAACTACTAGACACATCTGCAATCAACAACAATTATTGAAGATTTCCAGAGGACTTCACCATTGAAATTCACCAGAGCTATAGTGAAACTGACAATGCCCACGTGCATGGCAGCTGGATGTTGTAATACATCGGGTAAAAGTGGAAAAAGAAGAGTTATTTCACCTTTCCGATTCCTGATCCTCCACGGACGGGTTCGTCGTTGGATTGCCAACTTGAAGAGGGAGGATTTGCCATCAAACTTCTGGCCAGAGAAAAAACACGTAATATGTAGCCAACATTTGGAAGAAGAATGTTTTCAAGATGACTTGGATAATAGCGCGTTGTGACAAACACCAGATACAGCACTGGAACTTGATCAACAGCCGATACCGCACCGTGACGTCACAAACCAGTAGGTGGCAGTAAGTGTTCTTTGACAAACATGGATGCCTCCAGTAAAGCACATTCAAATGAAAATTACTCTTAATTAAAAACACTGATAATTTATTGAACATTATGTAATAATTTCATACTTAAAATACTTTTAGAAGTTTGAATTCTAAATATGACTTTTCCTTTAACAACTTCCCTCCTTCGGGCCTCAGACCTCTTCTACATTTTCAAGATTGATCCCTCACTGAAGAGCAGCACAGAACCAACTTTTCACTCCCTAGAAGCACCGGGAAGTCTAATGGTTCCATAATTGGTTTGAACAAAAAGTGAGCCTTCATTTTTGAAATGGTGCGGTTCTGTTTCAAATTGTACTTTTGATGGTGAACTATAAAGAAATGAGGATGGGACAGAGTTCAGGCCAAGAAATGGTTGAAAACTGTTATAGCAGATCTACATTTCTGTTCTACATATTTAGTTCTTTATTATTTCAACTGAATAATTGAACAAATCTGAGAATCAAAAACAACACGAGAATCAAAAGCAAGAGAATCAAAAGCAAGACTTTCTATTTATAATTTCGGAGCAGGTTAAGCAAATGTGTGATGTAACTTTAATAAGGCTACATGTCATGCATGCTTTGACCCACAACATGCTTTGAGCAGCACTGCAAAGCAAAACAAAATGTAAATCAGAGATGAGTCACAACATCATTCTCTATTTAAGCAGCTCATTAGTTCTAAAAAGGTCAAATCCCGTTTATATTTGCAATATATTTACTGAACGTATTTTTCACTTAATGGATACAGTAAACATATCTTCTGATGGCTACTTTCATCCAGGTGTGGCGCTAGAGGGCCACCACTGTGGGCACCGCTACCGGATGATGTTTGTCTATGTGGATGTAATTTACCATCTTTGAAATAGAGGGTGGCAGCAATGATAGTCTCATGTCTCAAACATACTGCTTTGACATTTTAATCGTCAGTATATTAACTATGACTGACAAAAAATACAGTTATTAATTAATTATGTGAATGTACTAAAATTAAAGGTGACAAATAACTATTTCTCTTTTCAGAAGAAGTGTAGATTGGGGGAGAAAGCAAAGTGACATGATGCTAGGGTGGAATCTGGTGCAGACACAATACGAGTCAGAAAGTGTTTTAAGATGTTTATTTTAAGCTTTAAAGAGACTGGATTGGTCCGGCGTGGTAGTTCAGTGACCAGAGCCTCAGACTGGAACTGCACAGGAAAAGAGATCAAATTACGACGTTGCCAGGAGGAACTGACAAAATGTAAGTAAAGATGCTGGTCTCTTACAGTTCCTTGGAGAGAGGAGAGGACGGGGAGAAGGTTGATTGAGTCTGGCTGAGATGGCATAACGGCTCGACAGTTCCAGAGGGTGGACAGGCAGGGGAGCGTTAGAGGAAGGATCCAGGAGGACAGCGTGGAGAACCGACTAGGAGACGGCCAAGCTGCAAGGAGAGAAGGAGGACAAAGAAGCTGAGTCCTAACTTTAAGCAAAATGCTCAGAAGCTCTGGAGCTAGCAGGTAGGTTACCACTATTTGGAATTTTAACTGACCGGAGTCAGTTCTAAGGAATCCACTCTTTCAAATACTGCTCCCTGATTGCATCCAATCTGAACCTGCTGTGAGCTCGCCTCGGCTGAAGTTTCTCTGAGGAGAAAAAAAGGTAAGAAAACCCTTAATGCAGCTCAGCACACAACCCTGTGGACGCAACACAAAAGTATTATACAGAGCCAAGCATGGTTCATCTAGAATGAATATAAGGATAGATGTGTTTACATTAATTAGAATACATAATACATTTATTAGGGAGCCTTTTATAAAAATGTAAACGTGTGTGTGTGCGTGTTTTGATGACTATAATTTTTCTGTCACTCTTCAGCTCACATTTGTCTTCACACGGCAACCCCAGTAAAAATGTTCTGGCTCTTTTTTTAGCATGAAGATATACCACAAATCTTCTTAGACTGGGGACAGTGAGCTATCTGTACCACAAAGATCATATATTAGTGTTGGAATTAGGAGTGTTTCTGTCACATTCCTTCCACATAATTCTTGGGTCTAAAGGCTAAAGGGGCTTTCTTCCTGTTAAAAGGGAGTTTTTCCTCTCCACTGTCGCTACAAACATGCTTAGCGTGAGGAAATGCCTTCAAGTCAATGAGCCGATGCAATCAACTGGTTTTCCTTAGATAGAAAACTTTGAATCAATTTGATGATGATTTGATGAACTGTAAATTGCCTTGAGATGACGTGTTGTGAATTGGCGCTTTAGAAATAACTGAATTGAATTTATCCAATCAGGTGACAGTTGAACAAGCAGGAGGAGTGATGGGCTAGTTTGGGGAGTGACCACCTAGTGGTTAAGGCAGAGCTTGGAATACTGTGGTTCTGAGTTTGAGCCTCACTCCCCCAGAGTGCCACTCTGGGTGACTGAGCAAGACCCTTAACCCCTGATTGCTCCCCGGGCGCCCCACGATGGCAGCCCACTGCTCCCAAAGGGGATTGGTTAAATGCAGAAATAAATTTCTCCAATGTTTGATCAATAAAGTTAAATTATTATTATTAGCAACACTTTCAGCAATAATTAGAAGAAGATGGATCAGATCTAGTCTAGATAGTAAAGACAGAAAAAAATCAGAATAAAATCCGAACTAACATGATTTAAAAAAAAAAGGAAAACAAAAGGAAATTGGTAACTCTTGCTTTCTTTTTCTTTGTGTCTCTTCTGTCAGTCTCTCTTGACCCTGCTATAACTCAGCAAGGTTCCACTGAGCTTTCAGCTTTCTGGGTAAATCACAAACAAATGCTTAATGAAATCTAAAATGATGGCTTGTTAGAGGTGGGATCTGCTCAGAAGGTCACTGCTTTCAGTCTCCTCTTCTCCTCCTCCTTCAGGGGGATGGACAGAATGGACCTTCCATTCTTTTTTTTCTTTACTTCTCTTCCTTTCTCATGTTCTTTCCTCTCCTCGGCTTCGACTTCATCTGTTTTGCTCCACCGTCTGCTACTTTCCTCTTTTTTCTTCTTTGGCAAGGATGCTCTGTCAAAATCGATTCACCCTCAGAAAAATTGATTTTTTTTCTTTTCTTTTCTTCCCTGAAAGTAGGAATCTATGGCAGAGCCCAAAGAAGAGAAACACATTCACTGCAAAAACTAACAAGATGTGAAAATCTCATGGTAAATCTCAGGCTAGAAAAATGAGGAAATAGAATTTAGCTTTGTAATACTGTTATGAATTAAAAGTTTGTTATGGTTTATAAATAAAATTGAAAATTGAATTGTTTGATCTTTCTTTACCAAATATATATTGACTTGAAAAACAGCCGTATGCTAAGCCGTCGTCATTGTGTAAAGCAATGTGTTGAATAAGAAGTCTCTCCTGTATTGACTCTCAGTTCTGCAGGCTGGTTTTTTTTCTTGCATGCTCCTGAAGCCACCCTGGAGGAAGCCGACTAATGAATTACCCCCCCCTCCCGACACTGCAAACTGAAAGTGATGGATGCGAATAAATGGGCCATGTACACGCGATGGGATTCATCCAGTCGTCTTGGTCCATCCCCTGCACCATATCAGCTTTCACTCTGTTGCTAAGCCACGTTTTATGAAAATATAGGCCATATCCAAGCAGACTATGGATAAAACGTTACTGGGCAATGTTAAAGTTTAAATGATTTTTTCATTCAAACTGAAAATTCAAGTTATATTTATAGGCCTTTGTATAACCATAGAGGTGCCTGTATCCCATCCTGATTTAGTAAATATTACTCACTGTTTTGTTTCAATTTGTCTTCTGCGTTCTAGATTTCAGCTCTCATTTATTCATAAATGAGTTTTAGATTCTCTGTTTTGCAAACTGCACCTAAATACCATTTTCTTCTTTTCTAAAGCTCTTGTTCTACTTCTCCAAGCATTTGATTTTTTTTTATCTAAAGAAAAGCAAAGTGAAGTTGGAAAATTGGACAAAATCTTGTCTATAGGATCAATAAATTTAAAGTGATTTTCCAAATTGCTTTGTTTTCCACTATTGTGCAAACCTTTATATAATACGTATATTTTGCACTATTGATTGGTGATCAAAGGAGTGAGAAGAAAAATAAAAACAATTAAACTGTACACCTTTTCCAGAGCATCACAATCTTGATCTCTTCCTCTTTGCACAATCCTGCACCTTCATTCACACCTCATGTTTTTCCCACATGCATAATATTTCATGCCTATAATATATGGATTATCTAGACATTAGTAAAATGCTAACTATTTTCTATTAGATGCATTTCACACAAACATGCACTCATTCAGATACAGGTGAATACCTGTATCCTTATAAATACACACACATACACTTGTTTAGCTGCAGTACTTCAGGTGAGGTGAAAACGTGGGAGATATTGGCCCTCGGGGCGCTCTGGTTTCAAGACGTCGATGATGATTTATCAGACAAAGGTCATTATGAAATAAACATAAACTGATGTATAATATATATATATAACAACAGCTTATTTACTTTGAAAGAATTGCAGAAAATAGTTTTTGTTCTTACTCATTTTCTTTATTTTTGCTTAAATGAGACTCTAAAACATTCTAGATTTTTAAATGCAAATATTATTTAAGATAAGAGTGTAAATTTTAAATGATGGTCTTATGTAACAAGAAGTAAATTGATCTAAAACTACCTGGCTGGGTTTATATAATCATCTTGGTTGAATCATGAATTAACCCCTTTATTTAATTGAGTGGTAACTAAAATAGAATCCAAACTAACAAAATAAAAAAGTCCAAAAAATACTTAAATCCAGAAAAAACGTTGCAGATTGGGAGCTGGTGTGGACAGATGAGTCTAGAAGGCAGGTAGGGAAAACGAGACCAACACAAGAGGGCAACAGAAGGCAAACAAGAAATACCTTAGAACTCAAATACAATCAAAAATAAATAGAATAGCACAGAATGGAAAATAAAACCAATGAAAACTCAAAGATAAAACTTAAACAGAACCAAAACCATGACAGGTATTTAGTATTAGTCTGTTTCAGTGAACACCTGGAACCAAATGCATTAAAATGCTCATGTATAAAGGATTCACAAAGCTTCTGCAGAAGGATAATATGCTTAATAGCAGCTGTGGTCGGCTCCCGACCAGCTCAACAGGGCCTTGGACAGAAAAAGAGGCGATATTTGCACCATTATCCATAGGCCACTTATATTACTAAAACAATTATACTCAAAGGCTTCAAATTAAACATTATTTACAAAAATATGTATCGTGATTTAGTTTTTTATTGTATTTATTATACAAAACATAAAAATAATTAATTGGCTGCCATGAAAACAATGTTTTTAAAAGTTTGTGGGGCTTGCATGAATAATAAATAATTTCTGACTTCAGATGTTTCAAACTTTTTGCTGTAAGTGAACAAACTTTCCAAAATATAATGATTGCTTAGTGTAGTTGAAAAGTACATTTATAAATGGAGGCATTCCTCATTTCTTTGACAGAAAAAACTTTGAGATTAGAAGCAGCAGGGTCAGAGGTGAAGGACGCCACTGAAAGTACAACAGCTGAGGAAATTAGAAAGATAGGGAGAAATTTGTTAGCATAAGGGGTATAGATGTGGAAATTTTAGTCAAAGAGAGAGAAAGGCAATCAAACGGAAACAAATGATTATCATTGCCAAATCATTTCAGACAAGTGCTCATTCAGGTCAATCAGTAAAAAAAATAAATAAAGATAACAAGTGGTGAACTGAGCTTACATCTCATCCTTTTTGCCCCTTACCACAGATCATGAAAATGTCCAAGGGATCCTTTACTAGAATAAACTTCAGAGTGGTGCAAATTACCCTTTTTCTTAAACGTTGTGCCATCTTAGATGTTACCATTTGAAACATCTTGAGAATTACAGGTATGACACAAGATGACATTTAGTAGGAATACCAGTCCTGTTAATAAATGTAAAGTAACTGGAAATGCGAAAATATCAGAAGGATATTACAAGAAAACCTAAACCAACCCTGCTTACAGACAAATAAACACAAACTTCCTTATTTTGATTTATATTAGTCCTTTCTGCCTTTTTCTATTGGGACCACACTACGTACATATAGAGTAATCACTCAGCAGGGAGCAAGGCATTAGGTGGGCGAGACAAAAGAAAGATACGAATGCAGAAGAAGCAGAAAAAGAGGGCAGTTTTAAAACATTAAGGCAGATGGAAAGAGCAGATGTGAAAATAACGGACAGGGCAAGAAGAGGCAGCTGGTGTGGCCGGGCAGACACGGCGAGAAGACAGATACTTATTACAGACAGAGACTAATTACAATGCTCTTACCAATCCTAACAGGCACACGTCTCAACCACAGCACTCACACCTGAGACCTGCTATTGGCCGAAAGGAAGCCTAATTTCAGCCAGCGGGAGGTCTACAGAGATCCTTTAATAAATAACGATGCCCCCGGATTCAGACGTGTGCACCTGCGCCAATTAACAGGTTACTAATTGGCTCATTCAGAGCCGGATGTAACGAAAATGTCTGTTCCTCTCAGCACACTGATTGATCCACAGGGAAAGGAAGTAGATGATTCTCTGCAATTGGAACCAGTTGTTGTTAGATTTCATGTCTTTCTTCAATTTTCATACATGTGATATTAACAAAGGT